GGTTCAATTCTCAGCATCCACATGGTGGCTCACAGCCACCTCTAGTGGGATCTGATGCCCTCTACTGGCATAAAGACATATAGGCAGATAGACAACTCATATACATAAATAAGTAATCTTTTTTTTAAAAAAAGGGTTTTGGCATGCTTCCCATGGTCTCCTCCAGCTCTGTAGTTCAGTGAATAGCTCCCAGTTCTCCCTGTTGGGGTAATCCAACCCTGTGACCTCACACTCGTCCATCTTCCTTGGCTGTTGAAAGGGCTTGGATTATTCACTTTTTTGAAAAGACTTTAATTTCATAATTTGTGGGTTCTCAGTTTTGGGCTTCCTAACAAAGTACGTTTCAGCTTCTCTCATGACTGAAAAGAATGTAACTTAAATTTTAACTTGATTGAACAGGTGGCTTTTGCATAGGAATTCAGGCAATGTCTATTCCAGAAGTCTAAAGTACTGGATGTACAGAAGCTATGTAGATATTTCAAGGTTCCTCCAGTTATCCTTCTATTTTCATTCTTCTCATAGATTTCTTCTTCTCCCCCTCCTCCTCCACTTCTACCAACTGAAACAACTAAAATCATCTCTGCTCCAGGCATTTCCTAAGCAATGTAATTCCTATTTTCAAACCATATTCAATTGTTTAAATTCTGGGTGCAGTTTAGAGACACACACCGAAGCTCGCTTCTTTGCCTTTATAGATGTCTTTTTTTATTCATTCCTTTCTGTTCATTAGGTTCGTTCAGCCCTGACTTTTTCTCTGATATTATTTACCAGTCCATGTCTGACCTTGTCAGCTTGGTTGACTTTAGAGACACCTAAGTGTAGTGATATTTCATTGGTATTTTAATAAATAAAGCTTGTCTGAAGATCAGAGAGTAAAACAGCCACACTGGTCAGCCTTACAGACCAGGAAGTGGTGACACATACCTTTAATCCCAGTAACCACACTAGTTTGCCATAGAAACCGGGCAGTAGTGGTACATGCCTTTAATCTCAGCACTAGAGAGGAATATAAAATGAGAGGAGACAGCTCTCAAGCACAGTCTCATTCTGAGGATTCCTGGAGGCAGAATCACCATTTCCAGACTGAGGTAGAGATAACAGCCAGGGGCTGACTGCTTTGCCTTTCTGGTCTTCAGGTTGAATGCCAATTTCTGTCTCTGGGTTTTTATGAATCGTGCTACACCTAACAGGTTAGTAAAGTACACTTCTATTTCTATTCTATGAGGGCATTTCCAGGGAGGATTAATTTGGGCTTGTGGTTTCCTAAATACGAGTGGAACCACCTCATAGCCTGGAGGTCTGAACAAAATCTCCATTATACTTTGATACTTTGAGTGGTGTTATCAGGGATTTTCCCAAGAGAGAGAAGCGCAGTGCTCTCATGGCTGTTGCAGTGGCCTTGTGACCACCCAGGCCAATACAAGTCAGGACTGGACAATACACACTCACATTTTCATTTTGTTTTCCCACTATAAAGTCACCTATCAGTATCTCTAGGGTGGTACTTTGGGACCCTCCACCACTTTTCCACCCAGGTATCAATGATGGAGGAGGGTCATCTGTTATGTGTTATTTTCATTGGTTAATAAAGAGACTGCCTTGGCCTTTTTGATAGGCCAGCCCTTAGGTTGGTGGAGTAGACAGACAGAATGCTGGGAGAAAGAAGCAGAGTCAGAGAGCTGCCTGTCATGAAGCTGCCAGGTCAGACATGCTGAATCTTTTCCAGTAAGCCACAAGCTCGTGGTGAGACACAGATTATTAGAAATGGGTTGAATCAATATAAGAGAGTTAGCCAATAAGATGCTACAGATTATGGGCCAGGCAGTGTTTAAAAGAATACAGTTTCTGTGTAATTATTTTGGGGTATAAGCTAGCCAGAGGGCAGTACGCAGCCTGCTGCTCCTTTTACATATCAAATACTAACTTCCTACCCTGGCAGCAAGACCAGAGCTTCTCCACTCTCAAGCCCCTGAACTGTGTGAGCACTCTCCCCTGTGTGACCAGTCTTCCATCAGCTCTTCTCACCCGAGCTGGAGCCTGACACCCGGTGCTAGGCCACTTATTATGTGCGTTCCCTCCTCACCTCCCATGAACCTGGACACCCTCCTTCCCACAACACACACAGAAATATTCCGCTACCTAGAATTCTACTCTCGTGAACGTATTTCTAATTCTATCACACCAACAATGGAATGGCACTAGTCCAGTGAAACACATGTCCTCTCACAACCATAGGGTGTGATACTGTTTGAAACAGGGTCTTTACTAAGGTAAGTATTCGTGACACTAGATTAGGGAGGTCCCTAAGTGCAATGACACATTTCTTTGTAAGAATCCGAAAAGGAAACAACACAAGGCAAGCATCATGTAAAGACAGAGACCTCACAGCTGCTGGCACACACTAGATACCAGAGGAAAGATATGATCATTTCTTCTTCACCAGCTCCCAAAGCAACCAACCTTGTCCGTATGTTGATTCCGGCTTCCAGAATTGTCAAAAGTATATTTCTGTTCAGCTAAGTGGCTTTATTTGGTGAAATACAGTATAGGAGCCTGAGAAAAAAGTTTGGTGCCTGTGCTCCATCTTAGATATACACGTTTTAAATTTTTTAAATTTATTTTACATATCAACCACAGTTTCCCCCTCTCTACTCTCCCCACCTCTCCTCTCCCCTTCACCCTCTTTCCCTCTCCTCTTTTTTACTCCCACCCCCATCCACTCCTCAGAAAAGATAAGGCTGATGGAGGAGGGTCATCGCTCTATGTGTTACTCTCATTGGTTAATTAATACAGAAACCTGCTTCGCCTGATAGGTCAGAATATAGGTAGGCGGGGAAGACAGAACAGAATGCTGGGAGGAAGAAGGCAGTGAGGCAGATGCTATAGCTCTCCTCTCCAAGATGGACACAGGTTAAGATCCTTCCCGGTAAGCCACCACCTCGTGATGCTACATAGATTACTAAATATGGGTTAAAGCAAGATGTGAGGATTAGCCAATAAGAGGCTAAAACTAATGGGCCAGGCAGTGTTTAAAAGAATACAGTTTCCATGCAATTATTTTGGATAAAGCTAGCTGGGAGCCGGGCCGCAGCCCGCCATTCTCACCACTACATAAGGCCCACGGGGAGTCAACAAAGCCGGCATATCAAGGTTGAGGCAGGACCAAGCTCCTCCCCATGGCGTCAAGGCTGAGCAAGGCATCCCACCATAGGGTACAGGTTCCAAAAAGCCAGCTCATATGCCAGGGACAGATTCTGGGCCCACGGCTAGGGGCCCTACAAACAGACCAAGTACACAACTGTCACTCACATGCAGAGGACCTAGTTTGGTCCCATGCATGTTCCCTAGCTGTCTGCCTAGAGTCCGTGCCCTTCGGTGAGCTCAGATCAGCTGTCTCTGTGGGTTTCCCCATCATGATCTTGACCCCCACCCCGTCTTGTTCACACAATCCTTCCTCCCTCTCTTCTTCTAGACTCCCGGAGCTCAGTGCAGTGTTTTGCTGTGGATCTCTGCATCTGCTTCCATCAGTTACTGGGTGAAGGTTCTATGATGACCATTAGGATAGTTACAATCTGATTTCTGGAGAAGAAGAGTTCAGGCACCTTCTCTACAATTACGAGGAATCTTAGCTGGGGTTATCATTGTAGATTCCTGGGAGTTTCCCTGGCAACCAGGTTTCTCCCTAGCCCCATAATGTTCCCCTCTATTAAGATACCTCTCCTTGTGGATTCCTGGGAGTTTCCCTGGCAACCAGGTTTCTCCGTAACCCCATAATGGACCCCTCTATTAAGATACCTCTTTTATTAGGCTTATCTTTTCTTTATTTTCAGTTTTTTTATTCATTTTATATACCAACCAGAGTTTCCCCTCCCTCCCTCCTCCTGCTTCCCCAAATCCACCCCTCCCACTCCTCCCCATGGGGAGTCAGCAAAGTCTGGCACATTAAGTTGAGGCAGGACCAAGACCCTCCCCCTACATCAAGGCTGAGCAAGGTATCCTTCCATAGGGAATGGGTTCCAAAAAGCCAGCTCATGTACCAGGGATAGGTCCTGGTCCCACTTCATTAGGTTTCTCTTTTGAGAGTCCATAGTTCAACTACCTTTTCACCCAGCCTGAACTGCAAAGCCCCATGCTGGACTGTCTCCCCATGTGAGCATGCCTTTCAGTACCCAGGCCAAGCCTTCTCTAAGCTGGCTTCCTTGCAATAGGTACCTTCTAATTTAGAGCTTTGCATCACCATGACTCCGCCCCTTCACCCTGCTGAAGACACCTGCCTTGCATTTTCATGATTATGGACTTGATTTGAGAGGTAGAAGATCAATTCCAAAACATAATGTTAATGTAAATTAATTTTGTCCATGAAGAGTTAATGTGGCTTTACTTTTTATTTTTCTTACAAGGCAAAACCATTAATTCTTTCTTAGATTTAAAAAAAAAGTGTCAAATTCATCCCTATTTCCTGATGAGAAGAAAATACACATAGTGTTTGTTCTTGGCCGGGAAAGATAGAAATTCTCTTTAGAAACTGTTATCTGTCTTATTTTCAATATAATGACTTTTCATTTGATCTCAAGTAAATACGACATTTCAAAACAGTTAGTTTACTGGGTCCCATGTACTGACCAGAAGGGAGTTCTTGAGGGAGAAAGAACATTATCAGGCAAAAGAGAGAGTTAGATTGCAGTGGTTGCCCAGAATGCCTGAGGCCCTGGGAGCCAGTCCCAGAACCACAAAGACAGGGCCTCAATAGTGTAGACATCTTGAGCTCCTGGGAGTTTTCTGGCATATTCAGAAGAAACTGAGAAACAATGACTGTTCCAACAGAATAGGCACAGGGCTGTTAGAGCGTCATAAACAAAGCATGCTTATCACAGGGAGATCTTAGGTTTACCTTATGACCCCTCACAAAGAGTCCTTAATTAAAGTGCTCTACAAGTCGGAGGTTATTAAAAGGCCATGCTAAAAGGCCTGAGAGGAGGGGAGAAGAAGAAACACAAAGATCATTCTTGTCTCATTTATTTTTTACAGCAGAATATTTTAGGAAAGTATTGAGTGTTGGCTAAAATACAGAAATAACTATGTTAAATGAACTTCCTAAAGTTTATCTGTGAAATGTTGTCTGTTTTTCTTTACATTTGTGGTGTCAGAAGTTTCTTCAGGTAAACCGCCCTGGAATGCCAGAGTAGAGTCCAGCTTATGGGCCTCTTTTGTTAGGTAGCCTTGAACTACACAGGATATTTGATTGCACATTTGCTACATTCAATTTCCACACTGTTTCACAACTTGTGCTTCTGAGACATAAAAGACAGGCGAGAAACCTGAGGCCACAGCCTTCAACTCCAGATCGGAGCAATGCCTTCCAGTCTGACAGCCTTTGACGATTTGGCGTGCATTTGGAGAGAAGCTATCAGACTATGCCACAACCAGGACAAAGAAAACACCAAGTCTTTGTGAGGCAAAAATGTGCAATATGTGTATGTGTGTGTGTGTGTGTGTGTGTGTGTGTGTACACAAATATATATTTCCTGCGACTCACCGGCAATTGTCATTTCGGATTAATAGTTACAATGAACGTGGGATACATGCCTCACTGAGGCAGTAGCTCACTAGCTCCACATCGCTTTCTACTCCTGTGTGGTACATATGTGGTGGATGGTACACGTCAGTTCTCTGTCTGGACTCACGGGTGGCCACCTCTCTCCAGTTTACAGTGCTGAAGAAAATCTGAACTACATAGTCAGGATAATCATTTCTCAAGTAGATCTGTTCCTTTATCATCCGAAAGACGAGATGAAATGAGTGAGAGGTAGTTTTCTGTGTTTGCATTCCCTTTAATACCAGGGGAGAGAGAGCGACTCCAGAGCTTCAGAAGCTGTGATGTTGCCTGCAGTGTTTTGACAATGCTGACTTCGGCCTGTGGAACAAATTATAATAAAAGCCTGGATGTGTGGTCTTCCATCAACTAGAATTTTTTTTTCTAGCAATTCTGAGTTTTCCTAATGTGGTCAAAATTGATATTTATGATTTATGGCTGGTTGTAAGATTATATTGTGTATTCTCAAACAAAGGTTTACATTTTGACAGCAAATTTTATTATCTATTACTACACCTTAGTGCTTTAAAACCCAGGCAACCCACACTTATTATATAGCACATTATAAACGCAGCATTTAAATATGATATAACATATTATGGCACTGTGAATATATTACAAATATGGTTTTGTAGTAAATATACAAGTGCTTTATAGGATGTATTTCTAATATAATTTAAACATATGGCATGGGTGAGTTACCCGTGCATGAATTACAGCAGTTGCATCTGGGTGCAGGCAGCGTGAAAGGCTTGGGACGGACAAGAAAGCTTTCATCTTTGGGATTTGTTTTTAGACTGTAATGCGTGCAGGTCTAGCATGAAGTATCTTGGGAATAAGAATCAAATCTATGTACACAACTCGTATTTCATATACACATGACCTGAAAGTAATTTTATACAACTTCTTTTATTGACATCAGTGGATTCGAAGTTTCTAGTTCCCCTTTGAATAATTTTGACATCTGGTCTTTTCATCAGCTTTTACATTTCATCTTGTTCATCAACTGTATTGGCATACAATTCCCATATCCTCTTAACCTTGGCCATTTATATACTAGGTGGTGGTGATTCTCACTGAAGTGTAGCCGTTGGGGACAATGCTGAATAGCCCATGATACATTGGACATCTGCTACAACAGAGAATTTTCTGACCCTTCATGTCAGCAGCACCAAGAATGAGATGAGTAGGTTCTTAGAAATTGATTTCAATTCTTTTCTTCACTGGAAATGGTAGCCTACTGCATTCCCACTTGATTACTTGCAAGCATTCTGGGTCAGTTCCTTGAATGGTTCTCTCTCTCTCTCTCTCTCTCTCTCTGTGTGTGTGTGTGTGTGTGTGTGTGTGTGTGCTCGCACACACACACACACACACGCAAACCTAACAGCATCCAGAAGAGACTTGTGCATGGTCAATCCTCACAGTGGTTTCAGAGAACCCTGTCCTTCCCCTGCTCATCACAGTCCCTCAGTGTACTCATCCACGGTGGTATCCATGAGGCTCCTGAGACAGTGACAGCTTCCACATAAAAAATGATAACGTCTTATTATCAAGGAGCAGTGTCCAATAGAAATGGAATATAAGCCACGTGTATCATTTCAAACTCTCTACAAGTCAAATTTAGAGCAAAAGCAAAAAGGAGTCATGGATATAGCTCATTGATACAGTGTTTGTCCGGCACCCATGAAGCTCTGAGTTCAAGCCTCAACATGAAACTCGGTGTGTCTGTATCTGCGTATCTGCGTGCACACATAATTCCAGCACTCAGATGGCAAAAGGAAGGAGAAGATTGAAAGTTGAAGGTTACCATTGACTACATCGTGAGTTCAAGGCCAGTTTGGGCTATATGAGACTATCTTAAAAGGAAATAAAATAAATCAGAATAAAATAAGTATTAATTCTAAAAATTATAAGCTTTAATATACCAAAAATAATGTAACATTTGTCAGTTTTAATACTGTCATCAATGTTTAACTTGATGCACTATATCACTTCACATTTCCTTTATCGTGGTAAGTAGATAAACTCTGAAGTGAGCTCTATCCTTATTGAACATCTTCATTTGTACAGCAATTTTCCCAGTCCACAGCAGCCAGTAGCCTCAACTGGACAAATGGTTACAACATTAGACAACACGTAGCCTAAACTTCTATTCTCTCTTGTATGTTTGTTGCATACAAATCCCCCAGTATAAATACTGGTTCAAGATAAGTATATTCAATATGATATTCCAGAAACAAAAGCATGTAGAAATCTGGTAGATTTCAAGACTTGTGACTCTTCTTCCTTCTCCCTTTAATATGGGAACTAACTCCAGGGTAACTTCAACTGTGATGTCATCAGACCTTCTGGAAACCCTTTCTAAGTTCATGACACTCCATAGACCATGGCTGAGCAAAGAGAGACTTTGGGTCACAGCTTGAAAAATACAGAATCTCCAAAACTATAGGATGCCGTGTTCATCACCACTCTATTTACACTAGCAAGGAAAAGGACCCAACCTAAACGTCTTTCAGCTGTTAGACAAATAACCAAAATATGGTCCAGATACAAAATGGAATATGATTCAACTGTAAAAAAAAATGAAATCACTACATTTTCAGGTAAATGGATAGATGTGGAAAAAGTGTGTTGAGTGAGGTAACAGACCCAGAAAGATAAATGTTGCCTGTTCTCTCTCATCTTTCATTCCTAGTTCCAGATTCTCAGATGTGAGTAACTGCAGAAACTAAGAAAGTAAACAGGGACCATGGATGTTTGAAGGAGCTCTAGAGAGGGGGAATGCAGGACCCAGGGGAGGAAGGGAATGGAAAGGGCAAGGTGGGTCTTTAATGGGGGAAAGAGGGACAATACAGAAGAGGGACGGAGGAGGGGTAAATACCATTAAATAAGTTTGAAAAAGCCATAAAGAATATTACTTTATATTTACCTAACAATATATATTTTGATATATATATATATATCACAAGCGATGTTAATATATCCATTAATAGCCATAGATGATCTAACAAAACCCCAGTTCTGTGTATGAGAAACCTCCTTTCAAGTAGTTCATGAGGGAAATCCAAGAAACCCAAAAGAAGTATAGCCATCTGAGGAAAGCTGGGGATGGGAGAGGTGATCTTCCACAGGGAAGAGCATTTCAGTTGGTTGCCCATGCTATCTACATAGGTATGGAATGGCTTGAAAAACAGATGCAACGTGGACATTTTAAGACATTTTCTCTCTATAAGTCATTAGTGCTCAGTACCAAATTTAAAATATAGAAGGGAAGAAAGGAAGGAAGGAAGGAAGGAAGGAAAAGAGGGAGGGAGAAGAAAGGAAGGAAAGAGGGAGGGAGGAAGGGAGGGAGGAAGGAGGGAAGGAAGGAAGGAAGGAAGGAAGGAAGGAAGGAAGGAAGGAAGGAAGGAAGGAAGAAAGAAAGAAAGAAAGAAAGAAAGTGGGGAAGAGACAAATGTGGACACAGATACCATCTACTCTGGACCTTTCCTTTCACAACTAAGTTCTACTGAGAAAATACTCATCATTTTTTTAAGTTTTTTTCCCTACTTTTGAAATTATAATTACATTTATTCCTTCCGTTTCCTTCCTCCAAAACCTCCCAAATACTCCTTAACACTCTCCTTCAAATTTGTGGTCTCATTACACACTAATTGTTACCCCATGCTTATATGTATTCCTAAATATAAACTGTTCGGTCCATATAAGTTTACTTGTATGTATGTTCTCCGGGCACTGGACAGCCAACTCACACCTTCTCCTTGAGAAAGACCGCTTCTGTTCCCAGCCTTCTGAGTTGGCTACAGCTCTATGTAGGGTTGAGGCCTCATAAACTTTTCTCTGTCTACTTTGGCATGTCCATAAATATACATATATAGTTTGAATAAACTTTTCTCATCTCGCTGATGGCCCTGTTTCCAAGCCCCAAAGATCAACTAACAAAATTCCCAATATCAAACATGGAAAACCCTCATTTGAGTTGTTAGCCAGGGCAGTGAAAGAGACTCCCAAAATGTACAACCTATTGCTCTTGACCTTGGTTACATCCAAGAGGTGGAAAGAAAGTAAGACCTTGTTGACAATACCACTCACTTCAGAAATAATGTCTGAACTGAAATTGACCTAAACGTCTCTCTATAAACTAGCTTTTATGGTATCAGAAGTTATCATGCAAGCTTCCAAAGAAGAGGGGCAACTAACAGTCATACGATGCCTATGAAAATACTAATTTTTAAAGGTTCTTGAGGCATTATGGACAGATTTAAAGAAAATAGGGTTAGTTCCCCTTTCTGGATTGGGCATATGATACAGCAAGTCATGTTTCCAGTGTGAAACATTGACTTAAAATAAGCATTGCTATGAAAACAAGGCCCTCGGCCCTCTACTACCCCTACCATTCTGTCTGTACAGGTGCTTGAGAGTAATCCCACAGGGATGCCTGGAAACACAGTGGGCCGGCCCTGTTTGCCTCAATGCATACTCACAACTAACCAAGACCACCAACATCCGGTCCTAAATCCTAACCTTCTGGAGAATCGATGAAGAGAAGACACTCTCTCTCCAAACCACTTACTCTCCCTCATTCAAGTTGGCTTTAAATTATCACATTTTACTGTGAGCTTCCTCTGTTTTGAGACTTGTGTCTGTTATTTTTAAAAAAGAAAGAAAGAAAGAAAGAAAGAAAGAAAGAAAGAAAGAAAGAAAGAAAGAAAGAAAGAAAGGAAAAGAAAAAGACACAACGGACAAACTAAGACAATTTCTATGCCTCCGCAAGGGTCCATTGACTCTAGTAAAGATTGATGATCACCAAACACCCCTCCTGATATTTCTGTACTTTCTGCTGAAATGACATACAAAGCTCTGTGGAATGTTCTTCCAATAACGCAGTGTAAAAAGAGTCCTTAAAATTAAAACATTCCAAATCCCTCCTATCTTTTGTTCTGAGCACATAGTAACATTCAAGGTGCCAGCCGTCATTCCCACAAAACAATGCGGGCATTCTTTGTGCTTGTAACTGGACCCTGAAACCAAGGGGCCCCTGTGCTGTGAACTTTAATGACGATGGTCTGGAAAAAGCAGATGAAGCAGGGACTCCTGGTAACAGAACAAGGACAAAACATGGGCGTCTGTAGCATTCAGAGGAGGAAAAACATGCTAAGGCTCTGTGTCATGTATCTGGTCCTTACCATGGGTCTTTTGTAGGGTGGATGAATAGCTTAGATAATAAGAGGGGTAGGCAGAGTCCAAAGCCCTGGCATCAGATATATTTGAAAAGAAAGCGAAGGAAATGGATCATTTCTAAAAGGCTCTAGCTAAATGCC